CAGGAAGCCGCGGCCAGCACATCCCTCGCCCTCGCCGCTTCTCGCCACCTCCATTGGCCCGGGACGGCGAACCGCGGCCAGTGGGGGCTGCGATTGGCCGAACCTGCCGCGTAAGCAGGTAAATAAACTGGCCCGGCCCGCCAGGGTACTTACCCTGGCAAGCTGCGTGCCAAACGTTGCCGATCCCTGATCTAGATGATCATAGTCAACTCTGTCTCAGCTCTCAGAAAATAGGCAAGGAGCAAAACTAATACATGAAGTGTTGAACAAATGGTAAGAATTGTTACTCAAAAAATTAGCCAAATTAACAATTTGTTTGTTATCTCATAAAATCTAAACAGCCATAACAGAAGCTTCCTAAACAGTATTTATTGCCTTATAAAGGGACTTTCTTAAGGACTTTGAAGGGTTAATGTATTACCCTCCACTATTTATAACAGTATCTTAGAAGTTTAGGTGAAGGGAGGAGTATTTGTTCTTTAGTGTGACAAATATAATTTAACCCTTTTCCTCTGCTTCTAAGAAAATTAATATGACTAGGATCATTGAAGTCAGATCTTTGTATTCTAGTTGAATGCTCATTGGGAGTTAGAGTGAGCACGTTTTATTATTTTTTTAAAGTCTCATTCTTTATCTGATTTAAGTACCGTATATACTCGTTCATAAGCCGAATATTTTTGGTAAAAAAGTGACGCATGAAAGAGCGGGGGTCGGCTTATAAACGGGTCTACACCAAAATTTGATGATTTTAAACTCTGTGGAATCATTTAATTGAATATCTAATACATTGTCGTTTTGTTTTCCTGGAGCATCAGCAGGCATGGAGCCCCTCAGTTCCCTGTGGCCGCGGTTTGCCGTTTCCAGCCAATAGGAGCTGCGGGAAGTGGCGCCACTTCTCGCAGCTCCCATTGGCTGGAAACGGCAAACCGTGGCCACTGGGAGCTGAAGGGCTCCGTGCCTGTGAACGCTCCAGGTAAACAAAACGTCCCAACCCCGCCTGCGGCTTACCCTGATGGGCCGGGAGCCAAAGTTTTCCAACCCCTGAAATATAGGGTCAGCTTATGAAAGGGTTATACAGATTTTGCTATTTTTACCTATCCATTTTGGGGGATTGGCTTATAAACGAACGGGCTAATGAACAAGTATATATGGTAATTAATATTTAGAGCCTAAACTGTTTACAATCAGTACTTAATGTACTCCTTAGTATCACTGAGTGTAGTTGCAGCCTCACAAACACCAAACAATCTCTTACACTTAAAGCAATATACACATTCACATACCCTGCTGGTACCTGGAAAAATGATTATATTTTGCTAGGGGATTTGCTTAAACTGCAGGCATTTGCATTGTGGTCTCCACTGGATAATGTTCAGGGTTCTATTGAAATTGGGTGCTTACCAGCTGATGCCTGTGGACCAACAACAGCGCTCACTGAGCTGTTAATACATACCTACTACACAGTTGTTCGAATTGCTTATTGAAGAGTTATTTCCTGTGAAATCTCTGCTTGTGGAAAATGGGAGAGACACAGCCTGGGAGATCAAAGTCCTCTGTTTCAGAATAGGTTCAGTACAGGCAGCAGCAGTGCAGACTTCCCAGCATTGCCAGCCAACAGTCCTGCATTCTGATCTGTACAGATGGTCTTTTGGTATAAAATAGTTGGTTTGATAGTCTTCGCAGAGAAGGAAAGGGCTGAAAGGACAATTGGTGCCAACTAAGGTGGAGTTTTTTTGTGATGTGGACATCTCTCTAGCAAGAGTTGCACTTAAACCACTAAACAGCCATCAGATGGTGGTAGCCTACGATTACTATCTGAAGTTGGAAGTGCCACACTCTATGAACATTCCCTTGATCCTTCAGTTGTCACATTAAAGATTAAAAAAAAAACGTTTGCATAGGGAGGAAAAATTGGTCTTTTCCTCCTTCCCCCAAGCTAATGCTAAAATCACATTAAATACTTACAGTAGGAAAACAAAAACACATGAGATTTGGCAACATGAAGAGACTTGTCAAGGTCTGGGTGGGGCGCTTGTTGGGCATGGGCTGTCCGGGTCCCACCTCCTCTTCAGAATCCTGAGAAGTACAAAAAGCAGTTACTGGAAGTTCTGTTACTAACATGTTCTCTAACTGGACTTGTCCAAACATAGTTAATGAGGACCCTGGAGTAATGTACCTGGGTGCTAGGGTAGGATATGTCCAAAACCAGCAACATGACAAAAGTTACATAAATTGCCTGTAATTAGAAGGTTCACATGGGGTCTATTTGAGAGAGATACAATTCTGAGAGTGTTAGAGCTTCAGAGTATGATTTGGGAAGGTAACTAGCACAAGTCAAAAATTAAGAAAAAAGCAAATGCTAGGACCCTGATTTTAATAAACATCTGTGTGCAATTCATGCAAATCTAGTACTTGGACATGGAGCTGGCTTGCTGAGAGTCTGTCCATGTGCATTTTCAAATTAGCTGCATGGTTAGGGGAATCAAGACCTAAGAGCTCAGTGTAGCATGAATTACCAAAAGTTGCTTTAAGAGCTGCAGTCATGAACCTGTTAAATACAAGGCTAGACAGGCACATACAGCTGGATAGACATTATGCAGGCTACATGGGCTCCTTCTGCCATGAAATACTACTTTCACAATGAAGATTTCTTGGTAGCAGATAAATATGCCACACTAGTGCACTTCTCAGTCATTTTAAGGAAATTGCTTTTCAGTGTACAAGGGCACATTTATTGTGGAAGAAGTTTTGAGCAGAAACATTGAAATGATCAGGCAATGCTGATTTATTCAGCTTTTCTCTGAATTTTACTTGCGTGTAAATTGAACCCACAGTCTCTTTTATACACAAGTTATGAAAGAAAATCTGGCTGCTTGTCTAGAAAATGTTCCAAACTTAACAGTGTAAATATAAATTTATATTAAAATGTTAGCTTTGCAGAAGGTAATGGCTGACATGCGCTGAAATGGTTTGTATAATTAAAGTCCTTTAATGACCCCTGAAAAACTTGAAACTGAAATTGATTTTTTTTATTGACATTTCCCTGCTTCAGTCATGTGTATGCATTGATTTATTATTATTATAGGGTTGCTGTGCTGGTTGCATTTTATTTGAGCATTGGAACATTAAACAAATATTAAACATCTGCTAAACAAATAAATAGAGTAGGCTAACATTTGGCCCCATTAACGTTTACAATATAATTTTACATTTAACATGGCCTAATGAATAGAGCACTGGACTGGGTCTTAGGAGACCTGGGTTCTATTACTAGCTCTACCACTGGCTTGCTGGGTGACCTTAGGCAAGTCACTTCCCTGTGTCTCAGTTTCCCCACCTGTAAAATGGGGATAATAATACTGACATCCTTTTATAAAGTGTTTTGAGATCTATGGATGAGAAGTGCTGTACAAGAGCTAAATATTATAATTACTATCTGAGTCAGTAAAAGACAGGAATTCTCAAATGAATCCTTCTTTTATATTGGTGTGAAGTTGCACATCACCTTCATTTCCTTATGTGAAAATTGACATATATGAATTGCTAGTGACTGAACGAAGCCAGCTAAGAAAAAACAGGGACCCCACAATAAGGGAATTGTCCTCTGTATAGACTGACCATAACCCTGAAGATACACATTTGTCTTTGCTCTTACAGCAGACATTAATAAGCTCAGTGTCTCGTTTACAACCATCTGTGTTGATCTGTTATCTGTGTGCAGGAGTCAGATAATCCATCTATTGTGCTATGCTCTAAACAATCAGGTCTTGTCAGTGCAGGGTCATTTTATGCAAATAAGATATTTTCCCTTAATCCAACATGAAGAGAAATCAATCCTGTTTTTGACCTGTCAGTTAGTACTTGTGGGTCCCATCTGTTTTTTAAATACACAACTTGTGTTTGCAGGCTCAGTTGCCTCAGCTTGTTTGTGGTTGAGGTGGTTCTCTTAATGTGACTATCTGTCATGGCCTTCACATGGTATGTGTGCAGCTTGTACATTCCTGGTTTGCCTGGATTTCTCACACATCTGCTATACATCCTGCCTTTTTGCTGGGTACAACTGATTGTGATACTTGCTTTTACTTTTCATGTCCTGGGTTGTTTTATGAAGGGTCTAGAGGATACAGGAGAGAAATTTGCAACTTTTTGTGAATAGAGTTTTGATTTGGAAACAGTAGAATTTATACAGAGCTGCTGAGTATATTTAGAAACAATGCTTGAAAATGTAGTGTAGTTGTAACCCTGTCCGTCCCAGGATATTAGAGAGACAAGGTGAGTGAGGTGATAAATAATGCTGGTAAATGATGTGTGAGATTGTATATGCGGTGACTTACATATTTTTCAGGCATCTGTGCTGTTCTTCTCTCTCTCTAAAGTGGAAGTCAGAGAACAGGAAGTAGGACAGAATTTTCTTAATGGATCCATGTAATAAAAGAAGACAGAATAGACTAGGAAATCAGTACTTTAATACTGTCTAAGTTTCTGGTGACATCACAGTCCTCAAGCACTGGCCTCACTGTACAGACTATTACCTTAACGCTACTTGCATTTATTTGAATGCATAACCATTCAACTAAATTGCAGCTGTGTATTTCAATGTGCAGTGCTCCAATTACACATACAGTGCGTTGTGATAAAGTTGGATTTTCAAAAAATGCTCTTTTAGCCTAACTTTGCTCCGATTGAAGTTAATGGTATACACTTAAGCACCTTGTTAATATTTGCAGAATCAGGGCCCTAAGTTATTGACAAGTTTTCATCTTTATTTATAGAGTCACTTGATTCATTCCTAAAAGACCATCTTACACATTTCTTATATATAAAAACATCACTTTTGGTCTGAGGAGAAAGAGAAATTCTAGCTCAAAGGGTAATTTGTTTGGAAAGTTATAAAAGTGTCTGAAAATAAGGACTTTGGACCTTCTCAGCCATAACTACTATAAATACAATGATATCCTTCATGATGACAGGTTGTGATCAAGAATATATTGTAAGTATTTCTTTGCAGGGCTACTTAGTCTCCTTAAAAGAACAATTAGCATGTTAAGCTAACACTTTCTCATTAATCATTTTGTCTGCTACTTCATTTTGTCATAGTATTGTGAACTGAAATGGGAACACTTTATATTGGAAAGCATACATTCAGACAGAACAAACATGAATGAACTTTGTAGTTTAAACACAGAGAAAATATTTTTCATTTACCTTAAATGAAGTAGTTATTCCACTCTATTTAGCATTGTTAGACCTTAATTGGAGCACTGACTTCAATTTTGGGCATCGTATCTTCAAAAAAACAGACCCAAGTGAAACAAGTTAAAAAGAGGGCAGATAAAAGGTTTGGAAAATATTGTAAGACTTATTCAGCCTAAAGAAAAGGAGATTAATTTGAAACTTGTCTACATGTATGTACAGGAAGGGATAGTCTAAAGAGGTCAAGGATCAACGATTATTGTTGGGTCAAGAGTCAGACTATTAATAGGTTTAAGCTGCAGCAGTGAAAATTCAGTCTGAAAATTAAGATAAACTATATAATTGGAGGAAAAGTTAGACAGTAAAACGCATTGCCAAGACTGGGGTTATGAAACTGGAGCTATGCAAGGGTGGCTAGACATCAGGGATAGTTTTGGAGTAACTGAATTAATCCAAGCATAATATCGGGAGGTTGACTAGATGACCCACTAACAATCCCTTCCAACCCAAATGATTCAATGAGACTTCTGAAATATCTCAGCAGTGGCAGTTTCTCTGTTTCCAGCATAATAAGCTGTTACTACCAGATAGATATGCCAACAGCAATGTACCAGGACTAATGCTAGTAAGGTATAAGATCATAGCTGAACATGGCATTTTTAATGTTTCATAGAATTTATTTTTCTGTTAGGTTCAACTTGCCCTTAATCCATGTGAAGATTTGCTGGCAACATATTATAGAAGTTAATAACTTCTATAATATGTGGGGTTGTGGTGTTAAAGAAGAGTCTGTCCAAATGAGCAAAACATCACAGCTGAACACCACTACAGAAACAAATGGTATAAGTGTGATTCACACACAAGCACACACAAGTGGTTTGCAACAGGTTCCTCAGCTGGTGCCAGTTAGTCCTGGTGGTGGAGGCAAAGCTGTGGCTCCAAGCAAACAAGGCAAAAAGAATTCCTCTGTGGATAGAAACAGTGATGAATATCGCCAACGCAGAGAGCGCAACAACATGGCGGTGAAAAAGAGCCGGTTAAAAAGCAAGCAGAAAGCACAAGATACGCTACAGAGGGTCAATCAGCTTAAAGAAGAAAATGAACGTTTGGAGGCAAAAATTAAGCTCTTGACAAAGGAGCTTAGTGTACTTAAAGACTTGTTTCTTGAGCATGCACACAATCTTGCAGACAATGTGCAGCCTATTGGCACTGAAAACACCACCACAAACCCAGATAACACCGGACAGTAGACACAAACTTCAAACTTCACAACCGCGTGGACTGAACATTAGAGGTGCAGCCCTCTCTGCACACCCATTCAGTACAGAGAAGGAATGCTGTTCTAACTTTTTAAAGATCATCTTGTGGGTATTTTTTCTCCTTTTAGGTTTAACACTGAAGATTTGATACAAATAAAATGTAAACTGTTTTGAGTATGTTTTAAAGTGTTAAATATTTTCTGCTCTGAAAGGTTTGGTTAAACAAGTAAAAATGATCTAAATGGACAAAACCAGGAGCCTGTCAGTGAAATTGAATTTCTACAGCAATGTACATTCACCATCTTATATTTTGCATATTGTAAGGAGTACAGCTGGGAGGTTTTACTGCAATACTGATGGATAATTAGATGAAATATCTGTTCAGTACCCTTTAAAATGTATTTCTTAAGCAGTCTTTTCTACATTGTGTATTACAAAACTTCAAAGGCCAGGGCAGAAATTTGTTTTCTAATTTGGTGGGCTACTTCAAATGTGTAGCACAAGCCCTACCCAAGATAATGTAGATCTCTCTTAGTCATAGTTAACAGGGAGTGCCTACTAACAGTGCCTAGTAATGGTGAGCCAGGGTGCTTACTAATGTTTTCTAAAGACTACTACATTCTTTGTGAGAAATTGTAATGTATTATGACTGACAGACAGAAAATTGGCTCACAACCTGTAAATGGCTATCCGGAAGCATCATGTATAGGAGGTAAAGTAGAACAACATTTTATTTTTATAACCCCTTTAAGCCTGTGTTCAACATGCTAGCATTATTCCTATGGTGACTTTGGGTCCTTATAGCATCATGTTTTGGTCTCCTGAAAATGTTTAAGTTCTGTAAAATAATTGCTTATTAGAATCACACTGCTGCCAAGGTGCAGGTATCAGGATGAGAGTAACATACACACATTGACTAAAGCAATGAAAGGGCTAATGCAGAACATCTGTTCAATCACAATGTAGACTACTTGATCCTTACTACCATACAATACCAGGTACATGGCTGTTTAGTTTAGCAACTGATATCCTGCAGAAATCCAAAGTAATTTAAAAAAGAAATGCCCTTAGTTTGAATAACTGATGCAGCAGACTTCCTATAGACACCATTGCCATGCGAAGGAGTATCTTGAATCTTGTTTTATTTTGATGAAACAGTTTCTCTCTAACAATGTTTTTTTTTTCTTAAATTTGATAAATCCCCTACTGTGACCCATAACGCAGCAGTATATTATACTGAGGAGTTAAACTAGAAAAGTGAAGCAGGAGCTTTGATGTAACCTTAATTTATTTTCATTTTTAAATGTTCCATTTATAGTATGTGTGTTACATATAACCCGTGTGTCTGGCTAGTGAACTATTACCTGATTTTTATTTCCCTCCTACACTACTTGTTTCCATACTTGACTTTGTAGTATGATTGTGTGTATTGCGTATGTATTTAGGAGGAGAACTTGGGTAAGATCTTGGTTAGATGCTAAGTTAGAAAATAAAACTTTCAAAAAATCCATTTTGAGTTTAAACTTTTACTGCAAAGGTCATCAACCAAGAAAGACTTTTACAGCTTGTCCTAGTTCATGGAAGTCTTTTACAGAGAAATTTTCTGGTTCTAGTCACAGCTTAAGTAGGTAGGGATGAAATATCAGAAGCTAATAAAAATGTTTTGCCTCAGAGCCTAGATCGTGCTGCCTCTTCTTTGCCCTCATGCTTAATAGAAGCAACAGCATATTGGGGCCCAGGTGGAGCCTCTACCTTATACCCATGACTTCCTTGGGACTCTTTCCTGGCGTATTCTAATGAGGATCACAGGCTAGGCCACAAATGGATCTGAGAAGAATCCTTTTCAGCTAACCTTATTTGTACATTAGTAGTTCATTATGGTGATGTTGGAACAGTTTAGCCATATTTTCACCTTTTATCTTTTCCTGAATATATTAAAGAAACTGGCCAACTTATTTTCATATAATCTAACTGCAAAGACAACATCCATAGTTGGAAGGAGTCTGTAATGGAGCTTTTAAGGGAATCCAAAGCTATTTACAAAGGTGGATCGGTATCCCTTGGTATAAATTAGGAAAGTGAGGCAGAGAGATTCAGGGCCTGTTTTTTTTAATAGGTGTTGATCAGCTCCATTCCCATTGGCTTCCACCACATGTACTTCACATGACCCACAGATGCTCAGTACTTGTGGAGAGAACGCTAGGATTATTAGCTTGTTGTCCTGCAGCAAGTCAGTGTCAGACTAGGAATAGAATGGTAGCGATTTACATAAAATAGGGTTGTTCAGCTCAAACTGCTGGCAAGAAGGCCATTGGAGGTCTCTGCTGTAGTGGGGGCTGGACTTATTTCTGGTATATATTTAGAACATCAGCTCTGCATTGGTGATTAGCAGTAATTTTCTGAAGAGTCATAGGGAGCCTGTCCCCATTCCTCATCTATCTTCTATTAAAACCCCTTTTATTCAGTCAGTTACAGCATGTCCAACAATTGTCCAAAAACCAGCTTGGTCTGAAGTCTCACTCAGAAAAGCTTCTAGAGTTTAAGATCAACATCCACATTCCTGGAAACTGCACTGGAGCCAGCGTATTAATGCTATTATGAAAACAAATCAGTGGGAAAAGGTGCCTTGGGAGTATTTCCTGGTTATTTGTGCCTACGCAATGGAAAAGCCACAAATGCTGAAGTTATTCACTTTAGTTGTATTTTCTGAGAAATGGTTCAGGCAGCAAAGCCTCCCTCCCCCCCACATTGATAGGGCTGACCTGTGGAACATCCCATTAAACGTCAATGCAATGGTCCAAAGCATTGGACCTGTTTAGACTCTGTATTGGCCCTAATTTCCCTACAGGGAATTGGTGGCATTCTCTTGCCAGCTTCTAACTACCTGAGGCCTGATTCTCAATTACAGTAAGTCCACTTTATGTTGCTCTGGCAGTGTAAGGGGGTAATAAGGTGGGCTTACATTACATTTACACTTTAAGACCCTTGGATATGCCCCAAACCCCTAGAGTATAAGGAAAAGAAACCTAAGAGCCTGGTATATTAACTTTGTAAAATGCATCCCCAGGGACCTTTGAGTACTACTCTGCTATAAAAACATGTAAATCCTTGTATTCTTCTGAATGAAATCTAGCTTTTTATTTCAGAACTGAACATTCAATACTTCTGGACAAGCCGGATTTCAATCCAATTGCACACTAAGTTTAAGAAAGATATACAGTATGATTCTTCAAAGCTATATTTGCTATTTTTACTTCAGTGAATATGTAACTTATTTTCCATTTCTTTAGTATGGAACAACCGGGTTAAAAAAAACGGTGAGTTTTGCCAAGGCAAGTGTTGTGAGTTATTAAGAAATCCATTGGGCATTAAGTTTTTCGGGAGTGGAATGTCTTATATTTAAGTTGACTATTGTAGCAAGCACCAAAAACTTGCTACAAGTTTAAAAATGAAATTTGGTTCTGTTGCTATAGATGTGCTTCCTCTTACTTTGTTAATCAAGGCAACCTTGCAGTAATTACCCAACGATCCATTGTATTGTGTTGAATGAGCTGACATAGAATTGCTTTTTTACTACAGAATTTTTTTTAAAGGTCTCAAAAGTCCATGTGTTTTGAGGACTATTGTGTGGCCTTCAAAATTGCTGAGCCCTTAAAAGAGCAAACAATCTTAAGGATGCCACTCTTCCTCAGCTTATACTGAGGATGAAATTTCCATCTTTTTTAACATTAATGCTCATTACAGTAATGTTGACATAACTTCTCAAGATGTGGGTGGCATAGAATAACCACTGTACTGTGTATTCTGTATAATTGCAGCAAACAGGTAAGACACATAGCCGGGTATATGAGGCAAGTATACTACAGCCCTCATTACACATTTTCATACTTGTAGTTGGCCTCAGTACGTTTTGGAAACACATTCCATATCACAAGTAAAGCTATAGCCAAATCATGGAAGGGCAGTTTCCTCTGCAGAATGCCATGATTTGTGCAGATTCAAGACTCTTAGCATTTACTGGAAAATTATGGAGTCTGTTTCCAAAAATTTCCTTTTAATGCTACACTCCTTGGTTCTGATTCTGAGCCAGTGTAAATCAGTACTAACTCTATTGAAGTCAACTGAATTACACTGATGTAAAATGAGAAATAGGCCCTTTATAGTCATGTTGGTTGTGCCACGCACTATGAAACTCATTACTTTAATTCTGAAAACAATTGCAAGGCAAAGTTCCCTCCTCTTCCCACTTCCCACCTTGTCATTTAAAAACCTCTATTACGGTATTGTTTGTATTGCAGAAGCACTTAGGAGTTCCAGTCATGCACCAGGAATGATCATGTATTTAATCTATGTAGAATCCTTGTTTGGTGATTCCCATCACTACTGAAAAGAGCTGTCTCTATGTGTTATATACATAGACAAAGGCATACTCCATTCTTTTTGCCTGAGGTTCTCATATCATATCATGCCTTTTCCCATCCAAGCTGATGATCTAACATGTGACTCAGAAAGGAATTAAGCACAAGACCTGGCAGTCTAGCTATAATTACTCCCCACACCCAAAAATCTTTATTTTTGTCCTTTTCCTTTTCTACCATCTGCCATTGTTCTCTGTATCACAGAAACTGGAGCCTATGTATCTGAGTGGTCTTACCTGTGCATTGCCTGCCAACTCTCCTCCAGGAAATAAAGGCTGGACAGAGTTTCATTAATTCAGTGTGGTGTTCATCACAGGCATTGGTACTTGGAGATACGCACCCTCTTTCCTGGCAGCTGAAGATTCTGCCTCTAGGACACAGCACTTCGAGGTTACTGAGCTGGCCACTCATCTAGCTATTTAAATTATAGTGCAACAAAAAGTTAGTACTTCAGACTTAAAAAAACCCCAACCACACACTCCAAACTCAGGCAAGACAATACGAGATGTGCACTCTGTGCGCTAGCAATGTGGACTCCAATTTCTTCTAGTTTAAAATAATTAAAACCACTACGAAAGGGTTGAAGAGTGATTTGTTTTCTAACAGCAGTCTGTGCGCTTGCGTTACTTGACGAGAGAAGTGCCCAGACTGCAGTGTGTCCCTTTAAATACCCAAACCCATTGAAGCAAGAGATTATAAAGGCTCATTATTTTAAATTACATGTAATTGGAGGATCAGTTTCAAGAGAGATTGTGCTGAATCTAGTGTTAGTTAAATAATACACAACTATTGTCAAAGGCATAGTAGCATCGACCTTAAATCCACCAAAGGCTAGTCAGACAAGGGTTTACTTACCTTGCTCCCAGCTGTTACAGCACACACTGTCTATTTAACATAATACATCAATCTTACTTCTCTTCCTTGGAAACCTGTAGTCCCATGGGGGTAATGAAAGGGCACAGTGGATTACTTCTATTGTTAACTGTACAACTCAGACACATACTGGTACTTATTTTCTCTTCTTCCTCAGTAATTGGTGGAATAAATACTCTTCTAAACTGGAGATTTCAGCGTGTACCTATTTCAGTGGAGTTTTTCAAGTTCATTTTGGATTTTATGCATTAGTTATTCATGCTGATTATACAGGACAAGCATATCCCACATACATATATAGAGACCTGTAAGCAAGGTTCCACATACTCTGAGGCAAGCTTGACGTAAATTTGGTGGCAAAATCCTCTGCATTCCTCTGTTTGTAATAAGGTTAGAAGGGGGTTTAGGTAATACTGCAGTAGAACAGATTTCAACATTTATGCCCCACTGATATGGTTGGGGCAATGCACTCCTCCCTTTAGGTGCTTTTTTCAGGCTGGTTGCAGACTCAGGTTTGTTACCAAGTTATTAAGACCTGCTAATGTAAGGTCTGATCTGCACACAGCTTTTGTAGCAGTATAACTATGTCAGGTTAGAGGTGAGATCTTTTACCATAATAGTTATACTGGCAACCCCTAGTGTGGATGCAGTTACACCAGGATAAAGATGCCTTACACTGATGTATCTTATTCCCCTTCCTGCATGGGAATAGCTATACTGGTATAAATATGCACATTAGAGGGGCTTGTATCACTATCCCAGGAAAGCTAGCGTGGTACAATCTGTATGTTTGGATAAGATCTAATGTCCACACAAGTGCATTGCACCAATTTAACTAAATCAGTTCAGGCCTTGGCTACACAAACTTGCATCAAAGTAACTAATTAATTCACTCTCACATCTAACAAACCAAACAAACCTTTCATACCCCTAGTGTGAAGACTTTTTAGAAACAAAAGTGCCCTATTTCCTTAGTTTTTAAGTTGGAAAAAAATTACTTTAGGCTAAATCAAAATAGGAAACTTACTCCAACAGAAGAGTGTCCACACACTCACTAGCACCGTGAGTTAGTGCAGCAGTGAGATCTTTTGGTGGCAGTTTGAGTGTATAGCCGCCCTTTGTTAAATCAGTACAGTGTGTGTAGACCAGGTCTCGAGCAGACATCCTTGTATGGGTTATATCGACTCATCCTTGGAAGGGTTTTTCCCCCCCAGTCACAAGGGGTAGATACCGTACTTAGTTTTTTTATAAACAAAAGCTGAGATTCTAGAGCAGAGTTCTGCAGAAAGAGGTAGATTTTATGGTGACAAAATTAATGGGGCCCTGACTACAAAGAAAAATTTGAGAAAACAAAACTAGATTTAGAGAAACCTCTGGGACACGTTTAATGAAAGAGGTATAAATATGTCAATTGTGTGACATTTATTTTGTTCTTTCTCCTTTCAGAACATTTGTTCTTTGGTACATGTTGAAGCACAACCAGCTCTGCCTTCTACAGTATTATTTGCTCAACCTGTTCTACAGCAGCGGGGAACAATGGCTGCCAAGACTAATCACGGAGGAAGGGGGAAGCCTATTAACTAGACATAGGTTATATTCTAGTTGAAACAAATCCAAAACTGTATTTCTAAAAACTGTAAAAAGTTACTTTCAATTAATCAAAGCTATCCAACCAAAGCAAATGAAGGTTTCAAAGTGCCCAGAGCAGCAGAGGAGTGAGCTAATGGGTGTGTTCAGAGTATGATTACAGAAATGTACTTTGACTTATTCAGGAACATAGATCCTGACCGAGTCCAGGAAGTGGTGACACAGGCACAGTCTTGCACTGGGTAAACTGGTCAGGGGTTTTTGGAGAGGAGAGTCTAGAATGTTCTTAGACTCTCTCTGTATCTGTTCTTCTGGCTGCAAAGTTATTGCAGTAAAAACTGGAGTCCTTATCATTAGTATGTTTCAATAGCTAGAAGCTTTTTAGGAGGCACAAAAAGTAGGGGAAGAATTAATGCAGTTACAGACAAGCCTGTCAATTGTCACAAGAAGTCCCATCATCTCACCCCACTTCTCAGTGACAATTTAAAAGAGCAGAGACCTCATTCTAGAGCTCATGAGACTTACCTTTTACAAGCCATATTATAGTGGAGTTACCACTACAAGATGAAACAGTCCCCACATTTGTAAAACAAATTTACGTCAAAACTAACGGAGCCAAGTATTCTAGACTATATTTAAATGTGTATGTTTGGTTAATCACTTTAGCACAATTTTGTATTTGTCAATGGGTCACCCACTGACTAACCACAATGAACCCAATTAACATTTTCAGAAGAAATTATTCCAGACCAAGACCCAGTTCCAGCTGCTGATGAGGGGAGCAAAATGCAGTGCAGGAGGCAGGGGACCAAAAGTAGTTTGAAGTTGTATTCTGTGATCCTAGGCTGCACTGTGCTGGGCTAGAGCCCTGATACAAGTTAGGGTCTTGTTACAGACGCTGCAGATTGCTGAGCCGCATAAAGGGCTCACTGGCCCCTACGCCAGTCACGGGGAGTTTGGCACCGATGTCAAGAGCGGTCATTCTGGCTCCATGCCACCTGTTGATCCGTCCACTTTGGGAGCATCCTCTTGTGGCAATGGTCTAGTGTACGGTGGCTCTAACACAGGGGTGTGCAAACTACGGCCTGCGGATCCGGCCTGTGGGATTGCCAGCCCCATGGCGCAGTGGGGCTAAGGCAGGCTCCCTGCCTGCCCTGGCTCTGCACCGCTCCCAGAAGCGGCCGGCACCACATCCCCGTGGCCCCTGGGGCGGGAGGGGGCAGAGGGCTCCGAGCGCTGCCCTTGCTTGCAGGCCCCCCCCCCGCAGCTTCTATTGGCCGGGAACAGGGAACCGCAGCCAATGGGAGCTTCGGGGGAGGTACCCGAAGGCGAGGGCAGCATGCAGAGCCCTCTGCCCCCCCTTTCCCCGGGGCTGCAGGGACATGGTGCCAGTCGCTTCTGGGAGCGGCGCAGAGCCAGGGCAGGCAGGGAGCCTGCCTCAGCCCCGCTGTACGCCGCTGCCACCCTGGAGCTGCTCCAGGTAAGCGGTGCCAGGCCAGAGCCCGCACCGCGAACTCCTCCTGCCCCCTCACCCCAAGCTGCTGCCCTGAGCCCCCTGCCACACCCTAACCCCCTGCCCTGAGTCCCCTGCTGCACCCCACACCCCTCCTGCAACCCAACCCCATCCTGAGCCCCCGTCACACTCCACACCCCTCGCTCCCCTCCCCCCCACACTCATGGCCCTGCATGTAATTTCCACACCCAGATGTGGCCCTCGGGCCAAAATGTTTGCGCACCCCTGCTCTAACACAAGGAATAATCTGGGCCCAGAAGTCTGGGAGTTGTATCAGTGAAATTGAGCACTTGATGATTATATGATGATGCTGGGAAAGTTCTGAATAGTATCAACAATAGGTGCTACCATTACTGGAGCTAACATCTGTACAATGGAGTTTCTGAACAGATTAAGGTTATTGGGATTAATGATTTGGTTTTTAAGACTTTGCAATATACTTTGGACCTAACCTCCCTTTTTGGGCTAAAATAAATATTTAACGCGTTGTTTATACAACAGAAGAATTGTTTTGGTGATGCTTTGTAGTCAGACTACATGTAAGGTCACTACCCAGATGAGCAGACAGTCTAAACTGTGTTTTAGTGTATTCATAAAACAAGGAAACATGATCTGGATTTATTTGTTATTTGTAAGTAATGCCATTCTGTCATTGCAAGAAATGTACTTATTCCTTGCAGGCAATCTCATAAATATTCATGTACTGTATGGTAAGGAAATGTTCCTCTAGAAAATGCATATCCTGCATGCAGGGAAACTCAGTTTATAAATCATCATTATTACACATTTACAGAGCATCGAAGCAAATTTTAAATGGATCCTTTACTAATATCAGATAGCTTTGAAAATCCCACCTGTTCCATAGGGTGTAATCCATTGCATAACACTGAATTCCTGTATCATAAGACACTCTCTTTATGCTGTTCAGGTGGAATTTTTAAGACCCCAGATTTGTAAACCGTGGTACTCTACATTTTAAAGGACAGAGACAGAAACCGACATCTCTCCCTGCTTCTCTGAGCGAAGGGGATGTAGCCTGTGTATGGAAGTTCAGTGCCCTCAGTCTGTGGGGGATAAAACCTAGTTAATGAAGTGCCTGAATTTCCAGTGCACACAATGGGTAGAAAGCTCAGATAAAGATACAGTCATGGGAGACGGACATAATGGGAGACGGAAAAAGTGATCTACACAAAGTTATGAACAACTTTCAGGGAGGATTTTTATTAGACATTTAATTCTGTGCATTCCATCAATATCAAGAAAAATGTACGTGTGGCACTTTTTCAGCCACTCCCAATTAACAAAAAGACTTTGTAGTAGTTGTGATATAAGTTTCCAAAATAGGATTTCTAAGAATTTTCTTATGATTACAGGCAACATTCAGATAATAGAGCTGTTATTTTAAAAAAATCACTGCTATCAAAATGCAGATCTGATTGGAAAGATACAGATGAGCAGAGATTTTAAAGCTTTATAATTTCATCTGTTCATACTGTAATTAATTTGTCAGTTGGCACTTAGTAATATAAATTATTGATTGCAAGCATAAAGACTTAGAGCTACCTGAATGTATAGTGCTGAATCCTTCTAACTTCACTTCTAATAAAGTAATCATTCCAGCTAATGACTTGCCTGATTCCATTTGCTGTGCAGAACTGATGCATTTTATTTTATAAGCAGTAGTGTAAAATCAGAATGATGGCTGGTTAGCAGAAGGCAGCAACCACTGGGGAGTTTACTACTTTTGGCTGGCCAAGGAGTCAAATGACTTGGTGCTGCCTTGGGCTTCTGCCATGAAAGCCTCTATTTCTTCCACAGTACGTGGGACACATGTTAGTAGCTCCATTCCATTGGCTGCCACTGCAATGTCATCCTCAATTCGGACCTGTTACAGAGAACACAGAGTTACCAGTATATTCTAGTGTGTTGCGAGAGGCACACTAGAAAGCAATGGCAATCGGAGTGTAAAGTGCACGTTCAACCCAGCTTGGTTTAGATGAACAAGGCTTTGTGAGCACCAGAACTTCCCACTGCTAGGAGAGAGGCACAGAAGTCCATTAGGGTGGAAATTGCCCCTTTGCAGGTGCCCATGCTAGTCTCTCAGGTTCACTGTAAACTCCACTTAAAGCCAGCAGGCAAAGGGAGGGAGTATCTGCACTTGGTGTGCCAGGTGCCAGCTAGGGTGGACTGTGGGAGGGACGAGGAAGAGGCCTTATATGTATCCAAGAAACCCAAACCCTCAGGCACAGGGGGCAGCAAGGGAAACCAGGCTTTCCCCGGTTCCTCTGGCACTTCTCCAGCACACAACCCATTTCCTCTAACTATGCTGGGGACAGATTTGCCCCTGAGTATGGTGCCA